CCTGTGCTGAGTTGCAGGCCTGGAAAATGATAGATGCCTAAAATTGATCAGGGTAATCGATGCTACGTGAAGTATTTACACATGATGGATGTATCATCTGCCAGATGTGAGTCTTGGCAACGGCTTGGTTGTTTATAAAACCCCTGAGATCTCATTTGTATTAGTGACTAATGTTTGCACATGGAGCTGTTTGCAGTGTTTTAGAAATGACTATTTATTCGACATGCCCACCTTTCTCCTTTACTTTCCCATTTATCACAAGCCTTGCTGCTCTTTCCTACATAACGAAATTAGGGTTTTCTTCAACCTTCTTTCTCCTTGACCTTGCTGATACATGGGGGTGTTTTTACTTTGCATTCCCAACTGGGCTTCCACTTCCCCTCTCCCTCTAATTAAAAACTTATGTGTTATTGGTATTACCTCCTGAGGCTCTGACTACGCATTACCCATTACTATACCTACAAATAAACTCCAACACCCCTCAGATGGCATTTAGAATCCTTCCCAACCTGGCCTCCAGCTGTATGTCTTACTGAGGATCCCAGCATTGGACAGGGTATTCTTGTAAGTGACAGAAATGCAGCCTGCCTGACCAGGTTATACCCACGGAAGTATTTATTGAAAGATCCCAGTCTATGAAGAAAGATCTGCCCGAATGAGCGCAGTTCTGGGAATCTCAAAGACAGGAACCAGGGTCTCCAAGACAGTCAGTAACTACTATGACACTGTTTCTGCTTCCTCTCATTTTTGCTTGTCTGGTGCGTCATTCTCTCCTGCAGATAGGTTTTCCTGTGCCTGGCAGGCAATAAGGCCACTTTCAGCCAAACTCCACAATCGGGAATGTATACCTTTTCCCAGTTGCCCTGGGGGAGGAACTCTGAATGGCCTGGCTTGGGCCCCCTGTATTCCGGTGGGTCTCACTATCCGGGGCAGGAGGAGTGAGAACTAGCCTCGCCCGCGTTGCTGGCCTGACTCTGTGGCCAGGAGGACAGGGTTGGCTCCCAGACAGAGGGGGTGGGACACAGAACTACCCGGCTACCATTCCTATTTCCCCGACTGGCTACAGCGTGGGTTCCGTTCAGTGACGACCACCAGCGCTCTGTGCCGGGTTCCTAGCCCTTCAGTCACCTGAGCTCACAGTCCGGTGGAGGCAGCAAACACTCAACAGGTCATGACGATGCAGAGCGCAGAGTGCGGCAGCAGAGACAGACAGACAGACAGACAGAGAGACAGACAGACGCAGAGCGCTCGAGTGGCAGCCTGGTGCCCGGGAGCATGGGATTCGGGAAGGCCAGGGCCCCGAGGAGGAGCTGTGGCGATGGGGGTGGGCGTGGGGCGGGAAAAGTGGGCAAGGCTCTTAAGTGCTCGCTCCTGGCTTTGGCTCCCCTTCGCCCCCGGAACTGAACTCCAACTTTCGCCTTCGAGACGAAACTCTAAAGCTGTCCTGTCTTTGAATCTGGAGGTAGTGAATTACAGCTTATCACAGCTTCCTCGGGGACTCTGCAGAGTCTCAGGTGCCTCTCTGCTAGAGCTCTGTTCTGCCTCCTTTCAGATATTTATTTACATATCTGCGGTCTTTACCACATCAGAAGACCCTTGAATGCGGCAACCATGCCCTAAATGTCCTTCTCTCTAACACAGCATGGCTTAGCACAGGTCCTTGCTCATTATCCAAGAAATAATTCTTGAATTCTGATCACCTGGCTCATTGGGCATTTCCCCGCCTTGGGATCAACTAGCAAACTGCTATTGGCTTCATGTGAGTAGAAAGAATCTTTAAAATTATCTATCAACATTTTCTCAGCATAGCCAGTTTTTGTTCTTCTGCCAAAATAAAAAGAGCTTTATAGATTTTAATGATTATAAAGTTGAAACATATGCATATATATGTATTATAAGTAATACATAAAAGCGTTAGAATAAATTTAAAACTACACAAGATACCATCTCCCAAAGGCAACCACTGTTTATATTTCAGATAACAACTTCCCAGACATTTCTCTATAAATCCAACTGTAATTAATATATTACTTTGTAAGAAGGCGGTGAAAAATACAACATAAGCTAAGTTTCAGAGTTATAAGTTTAAAATAATTTAATAGTTGAATAAAATGTTTTTTTCTAGATCTAAATGAATTTGTAATGTTCTCTGAGGGATTAAGCAACCACTCAATATTTGCTTTGGAAAGTTCTACCTGCTCTTTTTCATTGAAGTATAATTTACATACCATAACATTCACCCTTTTAAAGTGTATAATTCAGTGGATTTTAGTAGGCTCACAGACTGTACAACTCTCACCAGAACATTTCATCATCCCCTATACCCTTTAGGCAATCACTCTCCATTCATCTCTCCTTTTAGCCCCCGGCTAAAGGCAACCACTAGTCTCTCTGTCTCTATGGATTTGCCTATTTTGGACATGTCATGGAAATGGAATCTTATAATGTGCTGCATGTGGTGTCTAGTTTCTTTCATGCAGCATAAATGTTCAAGGTTCATTGCATTCTAACAAGAGTCAGTAGTTCAGTCCTGTTTAAGGCCGAACAATATCATATTGTATGGATATACCATATTTTGCTTATCCATTCATCAGTTGATGGACATTTGAGTTGTTTCTACTTTTTGGCTATTATGAACAACATTGTAGTGCACATTCATGTAAAAGTTTTTATCTGAACATATGTTTTCACTTCTTGGTAGTATACCTAGGAGTAGAGTATGTGGTCATACGGTAACTCTCTGCATAATGTTTTAAGAAACTGCCAAACTATTTTCTAAGGCAGTTGTATCCTTTTACATTCCCACTATCTATGCATAAGTTTATGATTTCTCTACACCCTCAACAACAGTTGTTATTGTCTGTCTTTTCTGCTATGACCACTAGAATGGTCATAACAGAAAAGACAGTGGGTATAAGGGGGCTTCTCCAGTGGCTCAGCTGGTAAAGAACCTACCTGCCAATGCAGGAGACACAAGAGATGTGGGTTTGATTCCTGTGTCGGGAAGATCCCTTGGAGGAGGAAAGAGCAACCCACTTCAGTATTCTTGCCTGGAGAATTTCCTGGACAGAGGAGCCTGGTGGGCTACAGTCCATGGGGTCACAAAGAGTCGGGCACGCCTGAGTAGCTAACACACTCAGTATTCTTGCCTGGAAAATTCCATGGGCCAGAGGAGCCTAGCAGGCTACATTCCATGAGGCCACAGAGAGTAGGACACAACTGAGTGCACATGTGCACACGCGTGTGCGCGCGCACACACGTACATGCACACATACACACATGCACATGCACACACAGGCACACACACGTGTGCGCGCACACACACACAGAGTGAGTATGAAGTAGTATTTCACTGCAGTTTTGATTTTTATTTCCCTAATAATTAATAATCATGTGTTTATTGGCAATTTATATATCTTCTTTAAAGAAAAGTTTATTTCTTCAAGTCCTTTATCCACTTTTTGTCTGGGATATTTAATCTTTTTATTGCTGAGTTTTAAAAGTTCTTTAAATATTCTGGATACTAGACCTTTATCAGATACAGGATTTGCGAATATTTTCTCCCATTCTGTGGCTTATCTCTTTAGTTTCTTGATATTATCCTTTGAGAAGCAAACATTTTTAAGTTTGATGAATTCTAATTTGTTATTTTTCTTTTGTGGCTTGTGTTTTAGGTGCCATTCTAAGAAATCACTGTCTAATACAAGGTCATGAAGATTTATACCCATATTTTATTATAATTGTTTTATAGTTTTAGCTTTTACATTTAGATATTTAGTCCATTATGAGTTAATTTTTGTATGTGGTATGAGAGAGGGGTCCAACTTCATTCTTTTACATATGGAGATCTTGTTCAAGGACCATTTGTTGAGAAAACTATTTTTTCCCCATTGAACTGTCTTGAGGAAAATCAATTGATTATAAATATATGGGCTTATATCTGAACTCTCAATTCTATTCTATTGATCTATAGGGCTACCCTTATACTAGATCCAAGTAATCTTGATTAGTATAGCTTTGTAATTTTAAAATTAGGAAGTATAAGTCCTCTAACATTTTTCTTCCTTTGCAAGATTGTTTTGTCTGTTCTGGATCTCTTACATTTCTCTATGAATTTAAGGATTAGATAGTCTCTTAAAAACAAACAAACAATCCAGCTAGATTTTGGTAGGGATTGAGTTGAATCTATAGATTAATTTGAAGAATATTGCTATTTTAAGTTCATGAACATGAGATTCTTTGTATATATTTAGCTCTTAATTTCTTTCAGTGATGTTTTAGAATTTCAGTGTATGGATCTTAAATTTCTGTCTTGAATTTATTCCTAAATGGTTTATTCTTTCAATACTACTGCACATGGAGTTGTTTTCTGAATTTCATTTTTGGATTCTTCATTGCTAGTATACAGAAACAGAACTGTATTTTGTATGTTGATCTTGTATCCCACAATCTTGCTGAATTTATTAGTCTTAAAATGTGTGTCTGTGAATTTCTTAAGATTTTCTTTATATAAGACTAGCCATCTGATAGTTTTACTTTTTTCTTTCCAGTCTGGATGTCTTTTATTTCTTTTTCTTGCCTAATTGTCCTGGCTAAAAACTCCATTACAATGTTGTGAAGTATTAAAAGAAAATCCTGATCTTGGGAGAAGGCTTTCAGGCTCTCACCATGAAGACTTTTTCTCATATTAATGTTTGGCAATTTCTTCAGATAAAAATCCTATTCCCTAAAAGTTTTCAGATTCTCTGCATTTAAAATGTCTGGAGAGGCTGCTAGCGCGAGGCTGTGGAGCGCTGAGCCGCGGGTCGTGCCCTTCGCTGCCCAGACTAGCAAACAATACAGTCAGGATGGCTAAAGGTGATCCCAAGAAACCAAAGGGAAAGATGTGTGGTTATGCCTTCTTTGTGCAGACATGCAGAGAGGAACATAGGAAGAAAAACCCAGAGGTCCCTGTCAATTTTGCTGAATTTTCCAAGAAATGCTCTGAGAGGTGGAAGACCATGTCCGGAAAAGAGAAGTCGAAATTCGATGAAATGGCGAAGGCGGATAAAGTGCGCTATGATCAGGAAATGAAGGATTACGGACCAGCTAAGGGAGGCAAGAAGGAGAAGGACCCTAATGCCCCCAAGAGACCACCGTCTGGATTTTTCCTATTCTGCTCTGAATTCCGCCCCAAGATCAAGTCTACAAACCCTGGCATCTCTATTGGAGATGCGGCAAAGAAGCTGGGCGAGACGCAGGATAACCTAAGTGAGAGTGAGAAGCAGCCATACATCAAGAAGGCAGCGAAGCTGACGGGGAAGTTTGAGAAGGATGTCGCAGACTGTGAGTCTAAAGGGCGGTTTGATGGCGCCAAGGGTCCCGCTAAAGTTGCCCGGGAAAAGGTGGAGGAGGAGGAGGAAGAGGGGGAGGAGGAGGAGGGAGGAGGGAGAGCGTGAATGAAAAACAAACGGTGGGCCTGTCTCCTTGTGAATGCCTTGGAGTGGGAGCGCCTTGGCCGACGTGTCATCGCCCGCATTACGTTTAATTACCCAACTGGATCATAACCATATCCTAGTGTCTCCCCGTGCTCTAGCAACTGCCAGCGGTTTACATTACGTGGCCTCCGGTGTCCGGAGCACCTGGAAACTGTATCAAGATGGTACATGTTCCCAAACATTTTTAAAATGAAAAGGCCCTCCTGTTCTCCTCACTCTCTGCACGTTGCTGTTGGTGTGAGGAGGCATTTAAAGATGTTTATGGCATTTTTTTTTTTTAACTTGTAAGGTGGTGTGTTAATTCTATGGTCATTGGCTAGAAATCCCGAGTGCTCAACTGTACATATCTATAGTTTGTAAAAAGAGCAAAGCCACCGAGACACACTCTGGATGCTCCTTGCTTGGTGTGGAGGCTGTGGGGGCGATGCCTTCTGGAGGGGCCACAGCTCAGGGCGCCACGGGCTGGACCCGGGGACACTGCAGTGTGCATCCATTTAGCTTCAGGTTGTCTTGCTTTTGTATACAGCGACATAGCATCCCGCTGCCATTCTTAGCTGTGGAAGGGGGCGGGGGTGGTCAGCAGGCACGAGAAGTGTTTTGGATCCTTCCTAGTTGAAGTGTGGTAGTTTTTAAATGTTTTTAACTGTAGAACTGTTCATTGTCAGCAATACCAAGAGCCGCTGCACCAGTGAAAGTTCAAGAACCTTCTGTACTAAACACGATCTGCAGTGTTCTGTTATTTCTTTTTTTGTATGTTTAGAATGTTGAAATGTTTTTGAAGTTAAACAAACAGTATTGCATTAAAAAATAAATAAATGAAATGTCTGGAATCTCGAGGCTATAGCCTTGGTACTGCTGTAACTCAATCTGCTGCAGCTCACTACCGAAACGATTCAAAAACCTTTCAATTAATTCACAAGCATCTCTCTTTGAATATCCCACACTTTTGAGGTTCAAGATGATTTTGAAACCCCTGCAGTTTTTCACCGATAAGGTTGAGATGCAACACCTTTTCATTCTTCAGTTTTCCCTTTTTTTCTTGTTTGTGGGCCTCTTAATTTGAGCTGCTTTTTTACTGTATGTATGGATGACTTTTTTCTTGTCCTACACTTTTTCCCTTTGGTGCTTTAGGCTAAAAGAAATGTTAGTTAAAACTTCTGGACTTATTTGGTGGTTCAGTGATCGGAATCCGCCTACCAATGCAGGGACACTGTGAAAATACCTGCTCCAGGAAGATTCCACAGGCCCCGGGGCAACTATTTAAGCCCCTGGACCTGGAGCCTGTGCTCATGATAAAGCCCTCATGGCAAGGGACCTCGAGATCTCCGACTCACATGCCTGCACTCACCTTCGGTGGCAGCGGCAGTTCACAAGGTGACTCGCTCTTTTTTAATTCACTTTTTAAGAATTTCTCTTCTTCAGTTGAATCATCTCAGTTGAGCTAACTGCAAGTTTGCTGATTCTTACTTCTGCCTGCTCAATTCTGCTGTTGAGTTCCTTTAGTAAGTGTTTTTATTTTGGTTATAGTGTTAATACTTGTCAACCTCAAATTTCTATTTGGTTTGTCTTTATAATTTCTATCTCTATTGTTATTCTCTATTTGCTGAGACATTATTCTCATTCTTTTATTTAATTCTTTAGATATGGTTTCTTTGCCTTCTTTGAACGTAATTGTGTGTGTGTGTTAGTTGTTTAGTCGTGTCAGACTCTTTGCAACCCCATAGACTGTAGCCCACCAGGCCCCTCTGTCCATGGGATTCTCCAGGCAAGAACACTGGAGTGGGTTCCCATTTCCTTCTCCAAAAGGAACTATAGAAAGAAAGAAAGTGAAGTCGCTCAGTTGTGTCCGACTCTTTGCGACCCCATGGACTGTAGCCTACCAGGCTCCTTCATCCATGGAATTTTCCAGGCAAGAGTACTGGAGTGGGTTGCCATTTCCTTCTCCATGAACATAGTTAAAAGAGCTAATTTAAGATAACTGGGTTTCCTCAGGTAGAGTTTCTATTGATTGCTTTTCAGTTGAAGCATATTGCGTCATATGCTTCACTATATGACAGAGTCTCTCTTTGTTTTTTTGCATATCTTCTATTTTTTGTTGTTATTGAAAACTGGACATACCTAATAATACAAAAAGCAACTCTGGAAATCAGGTTTTCTGCCTGTCCTCAGAATTTGTTTCTGCTATTCCCTGGAGTGTGACAGGGCACGTTTCCTGATAGGCCTTTGTAGATCTGATTGTTTCAGCCTTGCCCTAACTAGAGCTCTCGCCTGCATCCTGACTCCCCCTTCTGAGTCTTGCAGGCAACCCAGGCACCTTCAAACATTGGGATTTCTTCTCCCCCACGATCCTCTGTGTTCGCAGTGATCAGCACATTTTCACACAAGACACTTTGGACTGACTTCGAGATCTGTCTTGACATTTGGCTGAAAACCTCCTCCAGCTTTGGCTTCCGTGACAAAGACTCTGTGTGTCCTCCCTCGCCCTCTCTCCAGTCCTCCTCGACTCTCGGGCTCATCGCCTTGCTTGGGGTTGCCATGCTCTCATTTTTCTCTCTCTCCTCTCTCCTTCCAAGTGTGTGTAGTCGTCTTCAGTTATCTCCTCTCCATGATGGAGTTGGGGTGCAGTAATAATGAGAGTAAGCGTTGGAGTCAGCCAGACCTGGGTTTGCTATCTGGCTTGGACATTTACAAGCTGGGGAATCTTGGACGAATTTATTGAAAGCTCCATTTCTCAGCTTCTCATCTATCCAATAAGGATAATAATTATACTGCCTCAAGGAGTTTCATGAGGCTTAAAACTATCATGTGCTCATGATAGAGTAAGTGCTCAAAAAATTAGCTCTGGGGTTCTACCGCCACTTAGACTCAGTCTATCCAAACCAAGCTCATAATTTCACTCCAAATAAACCCTTCTGTCTTCCATGCTCTCCAGCCTTCTAGTCTCCTCACTTTGTGGGTCCCCTGTAATCTGGACTTTGTTCACTAACGATGATGACTTCCCACATGGATCTAATATCGCCAGAGCTTTTGAATGCCCAGTTTTTTGTTTTCTTTATTCTTGGAGCATCATTCACTTAATCCTGCTAACTTTTCCTTCAAAATATCCCTCTCCCCACCTTTTCTTTCTACCGTCACTGACTTTGCCCTAGCTCCACCCTCACTGAACTCTGAGTTTCCAGAGTTCTCTGGGACTCTGACACTCCCTGATAGCACAGCTTCCTATCTGCCTCACAGGAGCTAGATTCCAGGCAGCTTCCTGTGTTCCCTGTGGCTCTTGTCCTTTTTTTCTGGCAAGGTGGAGCCACACACTAGCCAGAGAAACTATGGGAGGGGGTTAACTGTGGGATTTGAAGGCAGGAGTTCTTGATTCTAGACAAAGCTCCACCATGGATTTACTAGAGAACCCAGGCAAGCCCTTCGTGTTCTTTGGATCTTGGTTTCCCCATCCATGCAGTGGGGATGCAGAATTGAACTGTTTCGAGGGCTCCTGCCAGCTGTGATGTATGCTGATTTATCACATGTGATTTCTTTCACATGCCAGGCTCGTTCATGGGGATTCTGAGAGGTTGTTCTTCCTTCATTCTCTTCTCTACTTTGATAGACTTGTCTTCTAAGGCAAATCCTCCTTTGCCAAGTTTTATTCAGACCTCATTTCCTGCCCCTGACTCACTCTTGGCTTCTTCCCCTACCCTGTAGGCTAGGGTGTGTATGCTGATACACAAGTTTACTCTGATTGTTGGCACAGCTTCTACTTCTGTGTTCCCTTGGTCTTTCCAGAGAATCTCTGCATTATGCCTCTCCTATTCCATCCGGCTGCTACACTGATACATACAGGATTTCCCTGGTGGCTCAGATGGTAAAGTGTCTGCCTACAATGCGGGTGACCTGGGTTCGATCCCTGGGTCGGGAAGATCCCCTGGAGTAGGAAATGGCTACCCACTCCAGTGTTCTTGCCTGGAAAATCCCATGGACAGAAGAACCTGGTAGGCTACAGTCCAAGGGGTGACAAAGAGTCAGACACGACTGAACGATTTTGTTTTCACTTTCGCTACACTGATGGCCTGTGGGGTCTTTCTAAAGCATAAACTGGAACTTGTCAGCACCTTGCTGAAAAACCTTCAGTGGCTCCCCACATCCCTAGGATAAAGTTTATCTCCTTAGCCTCCTTTCATAGGTTCCCACACCCCTCTGGTCTGAACTCAGCTATTTCTCTGTTCGGTTGTTTCTGAAGGAATGGTCCTCCTAACCTTTTGCTCTCCGTTCCCTCTGCCTGGATTGCACCTTTTCCCAGTCCAAAGAAGGGCTGCATACTTCTTTGTCTATTGAAATCCTACTTACCCACCAGGTCCAGATCAGCTATCACTTTCTTGTGAAGCCTTTCTTGATGTCTTTATTCAAAACAAAGCCCTATTGCTTTCGGATCCCCGCAGAATGTTACTCACCCAGTAGAGAAGAATCACTTTATTTCTTCTTCATATTATAATAAAGGCAAAGACAGTGTCTGTTTTAGGACAGGTGCTTGGCAGATATGGCCTTCCTTGGTGACTCAGACAGTGAAGAATTTGCCTGCAATGCAGGAGACTGGGTTCGATCCCTAGTTTGGGAGGATCCCCTGGAGAAGGGAATGGCAACCCACCCCAGTATTCTTGCCTGGAGAATCCCATGGACAGTGAAGCCTGGAGGGCTACAGTCCATGAGGTCAGACACGACTGAATAACTAAGCGCACACACTCGGCAGATAGGTGGTGCTCAGTACACATTTGCTGAAAAAGTGAATAGTTTTTCTCAGGTTATCTGGCTTTGGACTCACTCTGCAACCAGGCTACTTGAGAGGCCACCTCCAATTCATCTATCATAGAAAGATCTTCCCAAAGGGCAACTTGGTTTACCTGCTGCCAAACCCAGCTCCTGTTCATCCACATTTAAACAAAGGAACAGGAAGAAGCAAGGATTAGTGCAAG